GTTAATTCTTGTGAGTACCATTTACACCCCATTCTTCAATGCCAGTTGTGAGCCAACATTTTTGTACTAGGATCTACCTGAGCTCTACGTGTAAGTACTGAAACCCTCTTTAAACTAGTATGCATAAATGTCGGTCGCTCCATCCCGAAGAAAAGAGCCAAATCTTTAAGCCCAAAAATGTACTATTAAGGGTTAATAGGGGACAAGATAATACTTAACAACTGACTACCATGCTGCTCAAGGCGAACATTGCCTAAGGCTGTAATCCTCTACTAGTAACTTGACTCGACTCGACTCGTGTACAAACGTACAAACGTACAAACCAAGACAGAGGAGGACTGAAGTGCCAGTCTCCTCTTTCTCCTCTTTCCTCCTCTCACACTTTTCAGTCACTTTTCTTAGTTCTATTTTCCCTGAACTGAACCCGTTGCTCCCTCCGTAAACCCAACCAATAACACAACAGTAACAAGCAAACGATGGATGGCTCTTCTGATCACTCCCATGACTCTACTTGCAGTGCCAGGGCTCGTGATTTGGAGGGATTGGCAGAATCCTTTCAGAAGTATCTCAAGTCCAATGGAATGATCCAAGACAGAAAGACAGTCCTCCTGAAAACTGTCTCCAAGTGCTTTACAGGAAGTCAAGCTGTCTCAGCCCTCCAAACAGTCATGACTCAGCAGCTCCAGGATCGTTCTTCCAACTTGAAAATTACCAGAAAAGCTGCCTTGATGGCAGGCAATTCCATGGTCAAGTACTTTCATCTTTTCAAGCATGCCAACTGTTCAAACAACTTCACAGGTGAAACCACACTGGAAGACTCTGATGTGGAATTCTACCAGTTTGATCACAACTTGCCTTGCCAAGTACGCAGCATGAAACGCCAGTATCCATCCTACTGGGACAAGGTCAGACTCCTAGAGCAACACGTAGAAGTCAAGGATCGACGATACATGCTTTGTGTCTTTCCCAACTGCTTTGTAGCCAGCGAAGCCGTTGATGTCATGATGGATCTCAAGCTTGTCAAAAGTCGTGTTGATGCGGTTCATCTCATGGGAAAACTCAATCAAAAAGTGTTTTGTTGTGAACACGTCACCAATGACCATGAATTCAAAGACGAATACTTATTTTTTCACTTTATAGCTCCCAAAGAACGCATGCCAGAACCTGCCAGGAAAACAAAAAGTGGCAGATCAAAGTCTCCTAATAAGACTAAGCGAAGCATCAGAAGATGCAAAAGCAAGGAATGGGCAAGCGTTAGAGCCAAAAGTCCTCTGGCTCAGAATCAAGTCCAAAAGGAGCCGAAGGAAGAGAAAAACGTGGACCCCTTGAGAGATTCGGTGACTAGCAACACCGATGCCTCTAGCTATACCGGTACTGAAGTAGTTGAATAAAGTTGGAGTATGTAGAACAGGGCTTTGTTAGTTACGTGGTTGCTGACTGTCACTCGGTCAACCGCTGCCGTGCCCAATTGCTCCTACCGTAGTAGCCAAACTGGCGGACTGCATAGCTTCGGATGGATCCAAGTTCCCTACCCCGTTGGAAATGTTGACCGATGAACCTCCTAGAAGTTCCCCCTTGTGATCTCCTCGCCGATCCATTCCGCACAGCTCATCCGAGCTGACCTTTTTGATTTCTTCATTCCCTCCTGTGCGGACACTGGCATGGCCGACCGGTTGCGATCTCAATGCTTCGGTGCCCGTGGTACCTGGTACGGATGCCGGTACATACAATCGATCCTGTATGCTTGTGTAAATACAGCTTAGCGGGCTATTAAAAAGATCCAAAGATCCAAAAAAGCTGGAGCCAAAGCCACACCACCGCATTTCGATCCCTCCAACAGCAAAATGATGATGTTGCTGCCTTCCTTCTCTCTAGCTAGGACTAGGCCATCCCGAGTTGGTGTCCTTTTCTTATTGGTGTGGTTATCCATTTGCTGTTCTTTTCTGAGGGGTAATGAAGTTCCAACCATTGAAGGTTCAAAAGAAGGCTGGAAAGATGAGATTTTGAAGCTTCAGCTGGAACTGGCCACTGTAAATACTGCTGGTAGTGGTGCTACTACTACTAGTACTGGTTCAGAATCTTTGGTTTCTGCCATCCGTGCGAAATTGGCAGAATCTGTGGAACAGGAATCGGATTGGATGAGGAAGCAATTCCGTGAAATTCCTCGTCCCAATGAACGGTTGGACAATGAGAATGTTCCGAATCGAGATTTGCGTCCCGGAATGCCGTTGTGGTTCTTGCTAGAGACCCCTCAATGGTGGGTCACAGCCAAGATTGTGGAGATTCTCGATGTTTCCGAGGGACGCTTTCGGGTCAATATCACAGCAGAAGATAGAATCGTACAAGCCACCAGAGGAGAAACGGTCCGTACCGTGGCCATCAATGAATTCATTCTGGGGATCTGGAAGTCAGAGTACGAGAGGGATCAAGGAGAATTAGCAAGAGCTCAAAACAAACCAGAAGAAAGATTCAAGCGTTACCAAGAGGCCATCAAACTAGACCCCAAGAATCCACACCCCTTGGATAATATGGGATTGTACTACACGGATCAGGGAGATGTACAGCAAGCCATTCACTGGTACGAACAAAGCATTCAAGTACAGCCAGATTGGTACCATACATATTATAACTACGGAAATCTACTACGAGATTCCTACGAGACTGCAAAACAGTATACCCAATGGACAGCCTTGCAACTCTTTGAAAAGGCATTCCAACTCAATCCACTCTTTCTCGATACGCTTTGGAATGTCGCAGATCAGTACCACAAGGCGCAACGATACAACGAAGAGTGCTACGCCTGGCGTCTATTGCACACACTCAATCGCAATCCACATCCAAAACGAAAAAAGAATAATACCATCCTCTGGAATCCACATTGGGAGCAAGATCTGCCACGACGCATCGCAAACTGTATGCAAGCCATGGTGATGCCGAACCCTACTGGTACTACAGACGGTAACCAGCAACGACAAACTACAGATGAACTCTAGCTACAGTAGATATGGATCCATTAGAAATCAATCTATCCTGTGTTCATCCCACTAATCCCTTGGCTTGGACCCATTTATTGGAGAACCGTAAGATTGTAAAGTACGGCAATTTCTGTACAGGCATCCGCAAGACGTGGAGTTCTGTACCGTACCGAAGGTTGCCACCCCTCCAGTATTCCGCCCATTGGACTGGGCATTAAAATAGGCATTACAGTAACATGTATCAGTGCCAGTTGCCAATCCATGATCATCGTCATCCTCGCAAGGGACCTTGACGTAAAAAGGTCGATTCCTCTCCACACACTGTTATCGCTACTATAGTGGTTGAATGAACACCAGTATTCTCAGCCAGACATCTCCATAATTACTCTTTGGGTTTAGATCCTACCGGTACACCATCTTGATCCTCCTCTTCTGGACATCCATTCTCGGAGTCGAGTGGTGTCGTCATTTCGTGAGTCCCAGATGACAACATTTTTCAAGTTTTAATCGCGTCGTCATTTCGTGAGTCCCAGATGACGACATTTTTCGATTTTTAATCGCGTCGTTATTTCGTGAGTCCCAGATGACGACTTTTTTCGATTTTTAATCGCGTCGTCATTTCGTGAGTCCCAGATGACGACTTTTTTCAATTTTTAATCGCGTCGTCATTTCGTGAGTCCCATATGACGACATTTTTCGATTTTTAATCGCGTCGTCATTTCGTGAGTCCCAGATGACGATTTTTTTCAATTTTTAATCGCGTCGTCATTTCGTGAGTCCCAGATGACGACTTTTTTCAATTTTTAATCGCGTCGCCAGTTTGAGTCCCAGATGACGACTTTTTTCGATTTGCAGTGCTTGGCCGCGTTGGGCTGCGCTTGCTGGCTTCTGGCTACCGTACCAAGGCGCTAAAGATTTATTCACCTCGATTAGACTACCGTCCACGGTAGTCTAGTAGCTGGGATCTGTTGCTCGATTGAATGGCAGCGAGCTACTGAGTGGTAGGATTCGATTCATTCGAAGTTGCCGCGCAGTGCGTACTAGCTAGTACTGTACCAACATCTAATCGTTTCGTACAGCCGAAGGGGGGCAAATCCGAAGGAGGCCCTCAAACCTTCTTGGTTCTTGAGTGAGTGAATCCTGCCCAAGCCACGGATGAAGTAGCACAGTTGCACCCTACGACCCGTTTGCTCTCCTGCTCATTTTTTGCTCCATAGACTACTAGTAGCTAGTCCTCGAGGATTCGCCTCGTAATCGAATCAATCCAAGCCAGTAGCTACCGTAGCTGGTCTACCTGGTAGCTAGCTTTAGTGAGAGGAACGCAGCAACGACATCTAAATCGTTCAGGGAGGCAAATCCGAAGGAGACCCTCCATTGCTCCCTCCATCATTCTTGGTTGAGTGAGTGAATCCTGCCCAAGCTCCAGTTGAAGTTCCACCCAAGAGCCCAAGAGCACCCTTTTCCCTTTTGCTCTCCTGCTCAATATTGCTGCTCCAAACTCCAAACCGGCACATGTGGAGTCCTCGAGGAGTACTACTAGTACTTAGTACTCGTCTTTGCGACAGTTGGGGTGGTGGGTGGTGGGGTTGGCCATTATGCGTCTATTTTATTAAAGCCAAGGTTTTGAGGACCTCATTATCGTTTAGAAGCAGATGCTTTCGGAAAAGGCTGAAACTTATACCAGTACACCAGTACCTCCAAAAAATAAATCAACTGTGCCTTATGCCTACTAGGTAAGCGTAATGAAATAAATAATGTAGAAAGTTCCAGCGCCGTACAGGTGTACCGGTACTCTGATGAGTGGAGCCATGACATAACATCATGCAGTAATGTCCTCCATGCAATGCGAAGTGATAAATAATTTGCATGATCATCAGTAGTCATAAATTTTGTGCTAAGGGTAGTTTACAAGGCTCTTCCCAAAATCCATGACTGGTGAGGTGATCCCCCCACCCTCCACAGCGTACCGGTACCGTACCGGTAGCTTCCTCCACCTTCACCTCTGTCCACCATGGCCAGTCGCCGGAATGATTGAATCGACCCGCACATGCATGTGCCAGTCAAAAGGAAATCACATAGGCGTGCAATCGTACTGATTTTGTGACAGTGAAGTCCTGGTCACTGTTCTGTTAGAAATTGTTACTTAAAGCACTGTTGAAAACGTTATTCCTTTTATGGTCATTGTCGTCACGCTGAATGACCAGCACCAAGGCCATCCACACTTTTAAACTTGCTGGTGCTCGTAGTCTAACTCGTAATTGCCATTTTTTCCAATAGAGGTACTCGTACTCTAGCTATTAGACTACCGGTACCGGTATTGTGCCGTGGGGTACCAGGCAGGATGAAGGCTTCCGGAAGCGGCTTTATCAACCATCTCAGATGCAGGGGCAACGCCGTGTGCAAACTACATACTAGTACTACATGTACCGCAAGTTGCCTGGTTACTGCAAGCTAAACCAGCCTGGCTAGCTAGCTAGTAGGTACTAGTAGTTTAGTTTCTTCCTTTCTTTCTTCATTCTGCTCACAACTTCACACTCTAAAGTTCATAAAACTGCTCAAGCAATCAAAATCTCTACTAGTAGGTAGCAAGTAGCTAGAACAAAGAAACAAGCTACATAAAATGGTGGACTGTCACTCAACTTTTGTGAGCCTGGATTTTGAGCAGGGTTCCAACCACAGCATTGGCACAGATGGTGCCTCTTCTGTGTGTTCGTCTCGCTACGGATCACTGAGTGCAGAGCTGCGCTATGTGGAGAGTATCGCTGAAAAGCTGCAAGAGCACCTGCTGGCTCACAACATGGTCAAGGACCGCAAGACCTTTCTGCAAAAGAACATTCCCAAATGCTTTGTAGGACAACAAGCTGTCACTGTCATTCAGCAATTGCTCCAACAAGAGGAGGAGGAGTTCCTGCAAGATCATGATGCTTCAGGTGTTACCAGAGAAGAAGCAGTGGAAAAGGGTACTCAAATGATGAAGGAGTTTCAGTTCTTCAAGCATGCTACTAGTACTAGTACTAACACCAATGACACTGTCAAGCAGCAGCTTCTGGACAGTGACACTGCCTTGTACGTCTTTGATCACAACCTTCCCGCTCAAGTTCGACGCATGAAGAAGAAATACCCAACTTACTGGGACAAGATGCAGCTCTTTGAGGAAAATGTGGATCTCCAAGATCGAAGACACATGTTTCGAGTCTTTCCCGACTGTTTCATTGCCCGGGAAGCCGTGGACATGCTCATGAATCTCAAGATCGTTCGAAGTCGCAACGAAGCCGTTCACTTGGTCCGTAAACTCAACCAAAAGGTCTTTTGTTGCCAGCATGTTTGCATGGAACACGATTTCGAGGATGAGTACCTCTTCTTTCGACTGGTACCCAAGAACGAACGAATGCCGGCGCCCATCAGGCCAACCACTCGGAGGCATCGTGGCAAATCCCCCAAGAGGTCACTCAGCATCAGTACATGCAGTAGTGTTGGCAATGAACTGTCCACCATGGGCAGCAGCAAGGACAAGAACGAAGAACGACGCAATCGTCGTCGTTCCAAAAAACTGGAGCGACTGGAAGCGGAAAAGAAGGCGTGCTCTGCCCTGCGGGATTCCACTACCAGTACCAACACCGAGGCCACGGTACCTCTGTCGGAAGAGTTCACGCTCGAGCCAGAGAAGAAAGAACGAGCCAACAGGAGGAGGAAGGAGCACAAGAAAATTAGTCGTTGCAGCTCCGCCCCTTCCTTGGATGCTGGTCTCATCAAACAGAAGAATCGAAAACGAGCCGAAGACATCAAGAATCGATTGGCCAACTTCAAGCAAGAAATGAAAACCAAGCAGGCAGCAGCGACCGCTTAGCTATAGTTTTATTTTAAAAAACTAAGAGTTGGATTGATGAATAGATGACATCACCGACTGGAAAACAGCTGCATTACAAACTCATACTGGAGTAGCTCAAATGACTCGACTCGAGAGACGACTCGACATTCGCACCTTATGGAAGTTGTAGCCTCGGGATACAGCACCGCGTTTTTGGCAAAGCTTTCGCCGTGGCCTAAATGTAGAGATCGCTGCTTGTCACGCTTCATGGCTTGGTTGTAAAGCAACTTCTTGCAAGCTGGTCAGGCCAGCCAATTCCTCGATTCAACCATTCATGAGTTGCAATGATAGAGCCAGTGGCGCCTACGTTTCGCATATGACCATGAACTTTCCTTTTCCGCAGATTGCTGGCTCAGTACCTTACGGTACCGGTACACGTACCTCTGCTGAAACGACCATATCTTTTGACAGATACCAGGAGCGGTACGTGCTGGTATCCCAGAGAATGTCAGAGGTGTAAAGCGAATCTATCGAAAATGAACGATCTACTCAAGGCGTCTGCTTTCTCGACGATGTCGCCAGAATAGAATAGAATAGAATTAGAATAGAATGGTGACGCTGCTTTGCAATGCGTTATTTTGTTTGAAAGATATTCTGAATCATTGGTTTCTTGACGTTCAAAGCTGCCTGATCCAAAACTGCCACGGCATCTGGTTTTAACCTCCACGTGGCCGATTCTAGGTTTCCTTTGGCCTGTTGCACCGTTCGACAACCAGGAATGGGCACCGTGTCCTTGCAGAGTGCCCAATTGATGGCGACTTGTGTTTGCGTTTTGCCATAGTCCTTGGCCACCACTTCCAATGTGTTGAGCAATTCTTGAGCTCCCGGCAGTAATTCTCGAAAGAGTTGTCGTCGAGGATTTCCCTGTCGTGGCAAATTGTCTAGATTGTACTTGCCCGTGAGGAGTCCAAGACAGAGAGGACTATAGGAGATGAGACGACATCCCGCATTGTCACAGGCATCATTCATGTATTGCGAAGTCTGATAGGTCATGAGGGAATACTGGACTTGTGCTGTGGCTAGTGGAACCTGTCGTTGTTGGAGATAGGATGCAATTTTGGTAAGTTGTCCGGGTCCGTAGTTGGAAACCCCCACTGCTTCACAAAGTCCCTGATCGTAGATATCACCAAGTCCCTTCCAAAGTGCTTTCTCTTGGAGTGGCTGGTAATTGGCCGTGGACCAGTGAAGTTGTGCAATGGCAAGCTTATCTTGGTCTAGGCGCTTGAGAGATGCCTTGGCAGCATTGACAAAGCTTCCACCCGTGATTCGCCAGGGATAAGGCGCAAATTTGGTAGCTACCTGCTGTGCATTGCTCTTATTACTAGTTGCTGATCGCGATCCCGAAGACAGAACGTCCCACCACGGTTTTTGGTCCTTAGTTTCTAGTAGCTCTGCTTGATACCTACGTTCAAAGTCTCCTAGCAAGATTTCAGCTCTTCCATTGAGATCTAGAGTCCCGTAGGAATCCGCTGTATCAAACACGGTGACACCGGCTTGTCTGGTCAATTTGTAAGCTTCGTAGATTTCCTCGTCTTGCGAAGGATCATAATCCCACAGCAATCGATTCCCCCAACTCCAAGTGCCACAGCCTAATTGACTGATCGAGATTGGACCTGCTTGGACTCGGCCAATCTTGTTGACTAAAGATCTCGAGGGAGATAAAGATGGCGCCAATGACTGAAGAGCCCGGCATTGCTCACAGATACCCACGAGTAGTAGAAACTGTCCCACCAGAAAGCATACGGTCGCCTCAGTCTTCATCATCGTCGAACTGTTGTGATCTGCCACTACTCAGAGTATATGTTGCCTCGAGCTCATTCAGATCACCTATATGCTTATGCCGGTGTCTTGAATTGGTTGTTGTGGTGCATGCTGATGAGTCAAATGTTTTGGCTTTGCAAATCTCTCTGACTACCGCCAATGACGTCACACCTTTTGGTTCAAGAATTCGGGCCTCATTTGCTTTCGGAATCAATCGAACGCAAATTCCGAAACGCATAACTCGATTCAAACCGAATAATGCTGTATTGTGTCGCTTCGGTCAAATGGTTCTTTTCATTCAAAGAAGACACATACGCACTTGCACACGAATGTCAGTTCTGCCGCCTGAACCCCTTCTGTGTCGTATGCTGCAAAATTTGTCCTTGACTGTCTCGCGTTCGATCGTCCCGGAGAAAACTTGAATTCGCTTCCGTTCTCAAGCGAGCCAATACCGATACTACTGTCCATCGACCAAGCCGCCAAACGCAACAAACAGTTTGTTGCGTGCAGCTGAGAGCAAAATCTGGTACATGTACAGCATTCTACCGTAGCTGCAGTACTAGCTAGCTAGCTAGTAGTAGCTGGCCGGATTGTGCTGGACAGTCTCAAAATGCCTTTGCTTATTATTCGTGGGGGATGGAGGAAATTAGTGCCATTACCCTGGTTGGCAGTGGTTACATGTAGTTCTAACTAAAGTACTCAGAGCAGAACTAGATTTCTCCAACCCCCTGGCTACCAGCTTTGGTAATCTTCCCTGGCTATTTTGTTGTAGTTCTTGCATATGAATGTTGCAGCATGCTTAGGCTACAGAATTAGTTTATTGCCAAGTGGGTGTATATGTATACTATGCAATGAAATACACTGCAAATGCATGTACATATGAAGACTCAGCCAAAGTAACAGCACCGCGGTGCAGCGATACATGGCTTCAATGGATGAAATGGATGTGGTTGATATCGTCGCCGCTGGCTGCCAAGCTTTCTAGCCTGTCCTGGCCTGGCCTGGTCTAGCTGGAGAGCTAGTTGCTGCTGCTGTTGTTTCCCGGGTGGTTACCGATGTCCTGATTCTGCTGTATCCTTGTCAGCAAGTTCATGGCAAGCTCTTGGATACCAACTGCCTGGTTGGGCTGTTGCTGTTGCTGATGCTGATGCTGTGGTTGCTGCTGTTGACCCTGTCCCAGGGCAGCGAGCAATGCCTCAGGGACTGCTCCTCCTGCCAAAGGCATAGTATGGCTCGGATTGCTACTGACGCCACCAATGGCATTCACCAATGGTTGTTGCGCCAGTCCAGCATTCTGCAGCTGTGCTTGCAATAGCAAAGTTTGAATGTCGAATGCCGGAGCTGGAGCTGGAGCGACGCTCCTAGCTTGCTGAGAGAAGGACGCCTGCGCCAGTGCAGTGGCTCGAGCCAGGTTTTCTTGTTGCTGTTGCTGCTCCTGTTGTTGTTGTTGTTGTTGTTGCTGCTGCTGCTGGGCCCTCATTTCCAGACGAGTACTTGCCTGTCCATAGGCATGTCCGCAGGTAAAGGCGGCTTGTAGTAGAGCCATGAGATCAAAGTTTGAGGTCCCAGCCCTTGCGTTCTGCTGTGCCTGGTTGGAAAGTATGGACTGGAGTGCAATGTTCATATCCTGCTGCGGCGGCTGCGTTGCTGCTGCTCCTGCCGGCATATGTTGCGGTGCTTGCTGTGCGAGAGACTGCAGCAGTGATGAAATGTCTTGGGGAGCCCCGGCAGCAGTAGGTCTCGGCTGCAAGGAGGCAGCTACCCCAGCAATGGTCTCTAGATTCTGCGTGCTAGAGTGTTGAGGTGAAGGTGGAGCTGGAGCCGACGTGGCTCCGCCTGATGCCGTGAGATGAGGGGAATGGGGGAGGCTCGCCACTGGTGCTGTAGAGGGACCGGGGTCACCACTGAGGTCACTACGGGCAGGTGCTGGCTCTGATTGTGACAGGGATGGCGCAGCCTCTGGCTTTGACTCCTGAGTGTGAGCTTCGTTGGTTGGGCCCATTTTCATTTCACTGACTCTCTCGTGGTGGTCTCTTGTAAAGCTCGGGTGTTCATAGGAGATAACGTTCTTGGGCGATAGAGCATGGAATACGCGCTTGAAGCCCCACCTGTTGAGACTTCTGGTGAAGGAAGCCAGCTTGGTTCCCCCAAAGTACTTGTCGAGTAGCTTTCTCTGAGCCGTCTTGGTATCAAATGAGAAGGACTTGCCTCCTTCCTGCCAGTATAGAACCTTGGGTACAACTTCCTTGTTTAGGAATTCCATGAGCTTATCAGGGAGTCTTATGCGGCCACTCTTGAGTATGATTCCACCGCTGGGCTTTTTGTTTAAACTTCCGTTATTGTTCTGCTCATCGTCTTGTCTTATCTGTGACCTGCGGGTATCAGTGACATCCCGTTCAGAATCAGTGCTTTCGTCTCTTAGGTCTGCTCGCATGGCCGCAGCTGCCCGCGCTTGAGCTTGCTCCGACTTGGCTTGACCCTGTCTACCGGTACCGGCACCAGTAGTACTGGTACTGGAACTAGTAGCGACAACGGGCTTTTTGGCATCCTTGGTCTTTGCTTTCTTGCGCTTTGGTGCGCATGTCCTTGAGTCTGTCCGTACATGTCGGTACCGGTATATATGCAGCGGGCAACGCGGTGGAGTCCGTAGAGGCGCAGGAGAGAGAGAGAGGGACAGCAGAACATGAGATGACACACATGCACAGGCAACAGCGGCATGGTACCGTACTACTGGTACTGGTACGAGTACGAACTTAGCATTCTGATGGACTTACCTACATGTCCCGCCCGAGGCAGGTTGGTCTGTTCTTCATCCTCTGATTCGGATCTCTTCATCTTTCGTTGTGCTTGGCTTGGACTTGGACTTGGACTTGGGCTATGAGGCGATCGTGGGGCGCATTCATTCTCTCCACGGTTGAGAGGCAGCTTTGTGTTTGGAAGTCGTATCGCTTTTACGTTTTACGTTGTTTTGAGGCTTGAGGCTTGAGGGAGTCAGGGTCACAGTCGCTTTTTGTTGCCGTGCTTAAGATTGGTCTGCTGTGGTGAGATACTGTACTCGAGGAATCAACAACAACAAAACGAGGAAGCAGATGCTGCAGAGTGTAGAGCTAGATAGCAGTACAAGTAGCGTACAAATAATGCTTCTCGATTTCCTTGTTTTTTATTAAAAGTGGCATGACATCTGCAAACTGTAACCTCCTGCCCTTCGATGTTCCTGGCAGTCGAGGACAGTGTCAGTGCTGCTACCCAACAGTAACACGGTCAGTGCTGCCACCACCGTCAGTGCTGCTACCAGGTATACCCAGGCTTGGTCAGTGCTGCCACCTCGAGCTCTCCAATACCCCGAAAAATGCTACCTGATGAGAAATCTCCTTGGTCTGGCTAGCTAGACTAGCTAGGTCTAGCTAGTAGCTAGAAAATCAGTCCGAAGTCTGTGCTCGTGCAGATGTCCATGGATCCAGGACAGTTCCGTCGGTGCTACTACCGGACCGGGTACAGATACCCACCGATGGTCAGTGCTGCAACCTCTCTAATCTGGGAAAATGGGACAGTCTGTGCTGGTAACGGCTTTTAAAAAAGGATACGCTCTCTACTCGCGACCCAACCAGTTGACTAGTCAACTAACGTACAGGCTAGCTTCGCGCCGAAATGCGTTTTTGAACAAGCCTGTATAAAACGTAAAATTTACGATTAAGTAAGCAAAATGTAAAAGTAAAAATCCAAATACCTTGTTATTAAGAATCTCCGTGACGTGTGCACGTGCATCCCGTGGGCAATGCCACTATCTACCCACCAGCTATCTAGCTAGCTATCTAGCTAGTCACACCACAGCTACAAATAGCTTGTTCACTACTATCACTTATCACTACTACCTAATTGTATTGCTTCACAGCTTGCTCCCAGCCAGGGTTGCATGAGATATTACAGCTGGGAGCAAGCAGCAAACCACAAGCACATTCTAACATGTAATGAATGGCTCTTCTTTTGTTCTCCACATGTGTGAGCTTGCTGTTCATGGTTTTGAACTTTTCTGAATCTGTTTGGGTGACATCAAATAGTCTTACCAATTGCGCAGTTTGTTCGTCAAGTCTGTCTCCAAAGCTTGGACCGGCGGCCGG